GAATGTCTCAGAAAATGGAAGAAAGCACAATCCTGGTTATTTTATGACCTCTTCTCAAGGAGATGACTCTCATGTTTGGCTAAATGTATGGAATGCAGTGGTGCAATCGCAGCAATATTTTTCTCTTCATTAAAAATCCAAGCTGACACAATTTTGACTAGAAGGAAGTATGAATATATTGTACAGGAACTACATAAAAGATGGATTGTTGTTGTTGTGTGCCTTCAGGTCACTTGTGACTTGCCCAAGGTCACCGAATGAGTTTCCATGGCTGAGTAGGTATTCGAACCCTGGTCTCCAGAGTCATAGTCCAGCATTCAAACCACTATGCCACACTGTACTGGGACATCAAAAAACAAACTGCAAAGCATGGAACTGAATTTTTTTAGAGGACAAATCTCATGCTTCCCCAACTAGCATGGCCATAACGTTGGCTATGAATTCTGGAAGCTGTAGTCCAAAAGCTAACTTCCAAACTTTACAAGCCTTGGCAAGTTGGCAACATATATGATGGGAAACACAAGTCCAAACAGAAATAATACATAGTTTCAAACACAATTACTAGCCCACTTCCCAAACTATCAGGTAAAATTACATTGTGACTACATTCCATGTAAAAGAATGAGACTGAAATTATTTATACAGTGACCCCTTGGTATATTATGGGGTTTGGTTCCAGGACCCAACATGGAGACCAAAATCCATGGATGCTCAATTCCCATTAAATACAATGGCATAGTAAAATGGTATTCCTTATATAAAATGGCAAAATCGAGGTTTCCTTTTTGGACTTTATGTTTTTAAAATATTTTCAAGCCATGGATGGTTGAATCCGTGGGTAAAGAAACTGTGGATAGCAAGGGCTGACTGTAGTAATGACTAGCTTATTCCATATGTACTAATATAATTTTCTTATTACACGGTACATCCTTCTAATAAAAGTATGGATCTCAAAACAGGTCTGAAAAAAAAGCCCAAAGTCTAATGTCTAAATATGCTCAAGAGCTATGGGATGCTGAGGGTCAGCAGGAAAGGAATTAATAATAATAATAATAATAATAATAATAATAATAATAATAATAATAATAAAATTTATTTCTATCCCGCCCCTCTGCGTAATGCAACCAGGGTGGCTTACAACATTAAAATATACATTACATATCCCACAATCCCACCCACCCTGCTTTGAGGAAATGATGGAAATAAACCAGTGCAATAGTATGCTTACTGGAGGTATAGATATGCTGCAACATTTTGTTGCAGGTCCTATATGTGAAGTAGTACACAGAAGTGACTGCAGAGTTCATTTTTTCCACTAAAACATTCTCAGAACAAATTCACACCAAATGTGGTAAAGAACTTGACTGTTTTGAAATGAGAAGACAAGAGCGACAGAATTTAGGTCATCTCATATTATTTTAGCCAAAAGACGAAGGGTGCATGCATCTACACTGTAGAAATAATGCAGTTTGATACCACTTTAAGTGCTGTAGCTCCATTCCATGGAATCCTGGGATTCATAGGTGTACAAGGTCTTTAGACTTCTCTGCGAAAAAGTGCTAGTGCCTTACAAAACTGCAAATCCCAGGATCCTGTAAGATAGAGCCGTGGCAGTTAAAGTGGTGTCAAACTGCATTACCTTTACAATGCAGACGCACCCATAGAAAACAATTAAGCCAAATTCTCCTCTCAGTTTGCTTTGGCCTCTGCATTGCACATTCCTTTTTTTTTGAACTTCCATTGTGCTGATCTTGAAGAGAGAGCAACTGGTAAAGCCAGAAGCATGGCGCACAATGGATCCTCTTTTTGTACAATAATAGAAAATAAATGAGCGAGGGAATTACAAAATAAAAATAAATCTACTGTGAGCCTTTGGTACTTCATTTGAGGCCAGCTTCACATACCATGCCTCAGACAGGAAGCAATAGCTTAAGACAGCAGATTCCAAAGCGGTCACCATTTTCTTGCCTAGAACATCTAGCCCTTTGTGTTGTTACAAAAAAAGAAAAGTAGCTTTTAGCCCAAAGTAGGATTGAATCTTTCCTTTGGATTTTTTTACTTATTTCAGGAGCACAAATACATGTAACTAGTACTTTCTATACTTGATGTTCTATACAACTTGATGTTCTATACAAAAGTTTTTCAAAAGTTTTGATAATTTTTCCCCCTGGAATATGTTACTTTTTCACAAAAGTAACACATCCAGTATCTATTTAAGATATTTTCCAACAGTCCCAATTGGACAGAGACATTTCTGATTAATTCTCTACTGTCTCACTTTTTCAGCCACTTTTAAAGCGTCCCAGTTTTTCTCTCCTCCCACTTCCCTCCTTTGTCTTCAGCTTACTTCAACTGCTGCAAACTGAACTGAAAGTGCAAAAACAGTTTGCGCTCAGTTAACTCGTGTCAAATCTGCACTGCAGAAATAATGCACAATGACACACTGCTTTAGCTGCCATGGTTCAATGCTAAGGAATTGTAGTTTTGAGAGAACGCTGATGCTACAATAAACTACAAATCCCAAACTTCCATAGCAGTGAGCCACGGTAGTTAAAGTGGAGTCAAACTGCTTTATTTCTGCAGTGCAGATTAGATCTCAGCAGTGGGGAAAGGAGCGGGGAAATCTTGCCCTTCCCTGTAAGTTCAGACAAAAGCAAACTGCTGCAGACTCTCTGTACTTTGTCTTCTTCATTAATAATGTTTGCCATCTTGATCGCACTATGATGTTGCTTGGCCACACATGTTCCAGTTTTCATCTGTGAAATATTTCAGGGAGTGTATAGTTTGTGTCAGAGCAATTCCTAATCCACAGTCATGCATTACTATGAAAAGCTTAGGGCAAAACACACAGCTCCCATTACTTTTCAAACAGGAGGCTTTACCCTTAGGTATGGAAGAATGTTGATTTTGCTTCCCTCATACAATGGAATTTTTAAACCCTGAGCTCTTTCTTTCCTTCTTATGAAGAAACAGAAGTTTTGGCAAGTTCTTACTGTTTTTTTTAAAAAAAGGTCAGAAAATAAAAATAGAAAAGAACCAAATGAAAATTTCCATCTGCACTAGCTAAATTGAATAGGAAGAGCAAGTTGAAGAATATCTTGTTGTAACTGTCTGTCACATTGCTGAACAGGAGATTGTCATGGGAGAGGGAAGAATAAGAGATGGTGGTCCAAAACACACTGCAGGAATATAATCCAGTTTGAGACTGCTTTAACTGCCCCGGTTCAATGCTAGAGAATTCTGGAAACTGTAGTTTTGTGAGACATTGAGCCTTCTCTGTCAGAGAGCTCTGGTGCCACAATAAATTATAATTTCTAGGATTCCCTAGCATTGAGCCAAGAAAGTTAAAGCGGTCTCAAACTGGATTATTTCTGCAGTGTGTTTTGGACCGATAACTCCAGTCCAGATCTGAGAACCGCTGTGGCGTGTAAGTCTGATTGTTGGACTAGGCCTCTGGGATACCTGCTTTTCCATTTCTACTCAGCCAAGAAAATTTACTGGGTGCCACTGGGCAAGTCACACTTTCTTAGTCTTAGGAGTTTATCACACAGGGACCATATCTGCCTCCATCCCGATAATAATTAAAGCAGCCACAACCCGCAAAATATGCAATGTGTGAATGATTTTCACATGAAGAACATAATAACGCATTAGAAGCTCGTTACTAAAGCAAGAAAGAGGGTAGAACGCGCATTCGGTTTTCACACAGATGTGTTTAAATCCCGTTAATGGTTTGGGAATCACTTTTTTTGTGCATGCGCACAGAAGTAGTTGCTTCACAAGAAATCACCCAGAGAAAGAAACAATTTTCTTTATAAAAAATATACTGTAGTGTCCCTTACTTTCCAAGAAACGGTATCCAACCTAAGTAAAAAGAACAAAACACTACCAAAGAAGTAGGAAAGGTAGAAAAACAGCATAAAAGGCTGCATCCCTCTGGGCAACTGGTGTCCGTGGCTGTTCCTTTATGAGCCCCAGCTAATGGGGAAGGGAGTTAAGAGACATTCACACAAAGGGAGAAGCAAGCTTTTTCTCTGTGTCCCTACCTTTGCCCCAGCAACTGTTCTTTTAAGAGCCCTGGCTACTCGCCCTAAAGAACCATGGGAAATCTGGCAACAAATACAGAAATGGGGAGAATCCTGCAAATGGCTTTCACACTAGAGCAATGGCACCAAAAAAGTGAATTTGTAAATGAAATGGATATTAATTTATGGCATTTTTCCAAACATGCCTATTTGCCGGTTCATGTCACTTTCCTGTCGGATTCCAAGCAGTTTGTGCACAACGTCGTGTGGAAACCATTTGCGCAATTGAGCCTAATACGCTGGATAACTGTGGGCTCTGACCCATTTAAACTTCCAATTTTCCCTGTGTGATAAACTCCTTAGAGGAAGACAATAATGCTAGGAAAGGTGGAGGTAAGCAGAAAGAGAGGAAAGTCACATTCAAGATGGATGGACTCTATAAAAGAGGTCACAGGTATGAGTTTGCAGGAACTGAGCAGAGCAGTGGAGGACAGGGAGTCTTGGAGATGTCTCATCCATAGGGTTGCCATGGGTCGAGATCAACTTGAGGGTGGATAACAACAACAAAAGACAACTCTTCCCTGGGGTTTCTTCAGAGAATTTTTGCCATTTCCATCCTCTGAGGCTGAGAGAGTGTGACTTGCCCAAGGTCCCCCCCAGTGGGTTTCCATGGCCAAGCCAGGATTTGAACCCTGCTCTCCAGTCACTGTCCAATGCTTAAACCACTACCCCATGCTAGCTCCTATACTTTGCTAAACTACAAGTTCCATGATTCTTTCAAAGGCAGTTATGACAGTAAGAGCTGTTTGACAGTGGAACACACTCCTTTGGAGTGTAATGGAGTGTTGTTCTTTGGAGGTTTTTAAACAGAGGCTGGATGGCCATCTGTCAGGGGTGCTTTGATGGTGAGTTCCTGCATGGCAGGGGGGTTGGACTGGATGGCCTTGAGGTCTCTTCCAACTCTATGATTCTATTCTATAACATTTATCACAATGCCCTAACTGTGTAGTGTAAATATACTTCACAAAATACTTCATGATGACAGGTTTGTATTATATTTTTTTCAGTTCCACCACTAATAGTGGAAATAACCTTGAAATGGCTAGCTCTCATCCAAGTTCTTCTATATTTCTTGGGATGAAGTTCCAACATATGAGACACACATCTGAAGAACATTAGGAAACAAGCAGCAGCTTCAAAAGCACCCACGTAGGGTTTAAGTTTCTGGCTAGCATAAGCCATTGTCAAAACACTATATTTTTTAAATTAGTCTGCAGGGAGGAGTAACATTTTGGATAATTTGCCATCACTAGGAATTCTTCAAGAGCAACGGCCTCCCATGATGTTTTGAACAAGGAAGTGGGATGTCTTCTACTATGCAGGTAAACACAAAGCAGTTAGAACCTCTCCCTATTTTAGGTAGAGATGAGAAAAGCTCTCATTTTCACATTCTCCTGCAATTCAGGGTTGTTTTTATTTTAATTTCACGTGGCATCCATTAGTCAGATCTGGAGTCACAAGGTACTATTGCCACAGTTGTAAATGTCCCTGAAACTCACCTTAAAAACAGATTGATCAGATGTCATAACCACAAAAGATGACAAAGCACTGCAAATTGTAGGGCATTACAAAATAAAAAATAAAAACACTAATATAAATATAATTTCATTTCATAAGCTATATTACATATACTGTATTTTATTATGCACTGAGTTGTATTTTTTTTTCTGATGAACTACTCTTCATTAAAATGCCTTCTTGGCTTGCAATACACTTATAGAACACGGAGCAAGACAAATGCTTAAAATCGTACCAACAAACCCTTGACTGAATCTGCATCTAAATTATTTCTTTCATTTGTCCTTTGGGTTAAGGCAAAAACCCTTTCAACATTTCATTGTGACCTCAAGCAGCCCATTGCCTAAACTTGCTATTCTTTTCCCCCTCTGAAACAAATGTGCTTTGAGTTCTGGGGGCAAGTCTTGTTTGTTGCTGCTCCGAGGGAAAAGGGGATTTCGAAGGATCCATCCCATCCCACAATTTGCAGTGAGGACAGGCTTCCAAGTAGACAAATTTCTCAA